CACTCTTGGAAGCCGAGCCTATTCCCTTTATCCATGAAGCAGCTGCTCTACCTGCTCCCTCACATTCCGTTGCCAGGGCTGGAGTAGAAAGGTTCCTGCAAAAAGGTGCTTTTTGGGCCAACCCTTTCCCTTCCTCCCTATCACTGTTTTCGTTCCATTAGTGGCACTATCAGTGCAGAGCACTTGCTCGGGCAGCGCTCCAAGAAGTTGGTGGTTTTGCCAGGGTCAGCTATAAAATGTAGAATAAATGAGAACAAAACTCAATTGTTCCTGCTGCTTCTGAGAGCATCTACTGCTGCCATAACAACAGTCGAATTTTTCCACGGTATTTAGATAAGGCCACTCTGACTCATCCTGGAGCTGAAGGTGAAGCTTCCAAATCTAATACATGTTCCACCTCTGCCATCATATTCGTGCTTCTCTTCTGCTCAGGCCATTGCTATCGAGTGTCTCTTTCGGATGGGCACAGAACGGTGCTGCATTACAAGGAAAGCCCTGGTTAAATGGAGCAGAGCTGATTGTTTGAAGGCAACACTTGTACTTCAGACATTTATTTTCCTTTCATATATTATTAGATCAGCTGTTTACTGCAGATCTCACTGGAAGCTTGCAGAAGAGAGGCAGCTGTACAAAGTCCATACTTCTCCATGTAAACTCCTGTTCACACACAGTGTTAGATAGGAATTGCTGCCAGTCCAAGCTCCTCTGGTTCCCAGGCAGAGGATCTGCATTACTCCAACCTCACAGAACACCATCCAAAGCGGGCACTATCTATCAGTGGTGCAGAGGCAGGGAAGCACCCAGCTTTTCCACAGATCGAACCAGCAGCGTTCCTGCGCATGCCCTGGCAAAGGCACCAGTTGTGTTTGGCACTTCACTAACGAGGCAGGGGTTGGAGGACTTCACTCTTGGACTTGAGTGTCTAAATTCCATTGTAGCCTTGGCTTCAGAACTGCAAGTCCTTCTGGGCCAAGGTCCTTCCGTGACTCAGTGCAGAGCACATAAAGTAACGAAAATAATTACCTCTCATCACACAGGAGCGCTGCAAATATGAACTCCTCTGTGGCACTTGTAGTTCTTTTTCATAGTTAGGGTCCATGGCAAAGGGGGGATTGTACAGCAAAGCAACCCAACAGCTACCACAGTAACTGCTGTAGGAATTAATATTCCAAACATCACTGAAAGCCCGGTGCAGGCTCCATTGAAAATCCCGGCCATAGCTGGGATTCTCTTTTAAATTACAACAAATGAAATGGGGAGCAAGAGCCACGAGCACTGCAAATGAATCTCTGCACTTGCATGCAGCCTTCTGGATTACCTGCACTCTCTTCACTCCATCCAGGACTTCCCCATCCTATTTTCCCCCCTTTTCCTTATTTGCTGCCAGCTCACTCCCATGATTCGTACCCTGACAAACACTTTCTCTCCTCATCACCATTTCTGGGTCACTTCACAGAATAAAGCCTTTGAGAGCTAGAGAGCTCATTTTGACCACTTATAGTCACAACTAGTGCTGCACATGTGAACATCTTGTGAACTCTCATCTGTCTTCTCTGTTGTTGCCAAGGGCAAGGGTAAAGATAATATTTCATGGTTTAAGTGGCCTTATAAAACATTCATGGGCAAACTGTAACTTACTCTTCTTTCCAAATCACGTTTTATATCGAAGCAATAGCATAAACAAAATGAAAATCATCTCAATTCATTTTCAAGCAATATACTCTGAACATGGAAACAGCTTCTAGCCCTGGGCAGGCCAGCAGGGTTACCTGGATGGAGGAGAGATCAATACGCTTCACAGTGCTCAAAGACTGGCAGCATCGGGTCAATGTAACATCAGCAAACAGGAACCAAAGGCAACACTTGTTTTCATTTCAAAACACCTTTTTCTGGAAGGATGAAAGAAAACCTACAGGTGGAATGAAATAACTGGAAAGTTAATGGCCATGAAGCCAACCAGATATAGGGAAGGAGGATACAGGGTGCAGGTCCAAGGCAGGCAGCTGGCTGCTCATCTTGCTTCTCTGTCACCACAGTAAAACAATAAGGGAGGGAAGGCCCTGGCAGCAACATGGACAATGACAAAGGAAGAGCTGTCAAGCAGCTTCTTGGAAGCTTTGATTACATCCATTACCAGGTTTTGTTTTAAATGAACAACGGTATCTTTACCAGCATTATGTTTATTTCTGCTGGGACAAACAGCACCTGAAATTACGGTTTGGAACACCTCTAGATCTGTTTTTCACATAATTATTCCTTATAGCAAGAGCTTTGGCTTTTCTCACTACTTCAAGTATAAGCAAGATTGTCCAGAGCCCATGAATCCTTGAATGCACAGCTTCTCTGGGCACCCTGTGCCAGCGCCTCAGCACCCTCACAGGGAAGAGCTTCTGCCTCAGAGCTCATCTCAATCTCCCCTTCGGGCAGGTTAAAGCAATTCCCCTTGTCCTGTCCCTACAGGCCCTTGTCCAAAGCCCCTCTCCAGGTTTCCTGGAGCCCCTTTAGGCCCTGGAGCTGCTCTAAGGTGTCCCCTTCAGGAGCCTTCTCTTCTCCAGCTGCCCCAGCCCAGCTCTCCCAGCCTGGCTCCAGAGCAGAGCTGCATCTTCACGGCCTTCTCTGGCCTCGCTCCAGCAGCTCCACATCCCCCTTGTGCTGGGAGCCCCACGCTTGCTTCTCTCTACAAATATACTCCACAGCCTTATCTGGTTTAAATGAACGCCAGCAGCAGCACGGACAGTCAAGTGCAGATCAAGCCAAAGCTGAGCTTTCCTTTACTCCTGTTTACGTTACTTTATATGCAAGGGAACTATTCTAATGTTGCTTGAGATAAACTTCGACCAAGGAGCAAATACTGAAGTTCCAGAACTGCTGCTGCGTAGTGAGATTCCTTCATATGTATGGAGATGGGGAAAACACAACTCAAATTCCACTTTACAAGTCAGTAACTTCCAGAGACACTTTTGTCATGTGATAACAGCTTCTGGCTGAATTCCAGCTTCTACATTGCATTCACAGAGACCAAATAAAGGCCTAGCTAGAACTTCAAATATGGTTTACCTCTGAATTTTAGCAGGAACATGTGTATAATTTCTATAGGACTAGGAAATAGAAATAACAAAGCCTCTCATTCCATGTTTCGCTCAGGCTGTTATTAGGACTTACACAGAGCTGAATAGTTTCCACACTGAAAGCTATTTTCCCTTCATGCTTTCAAATTCTGCTTCTTGGCTGCATACGTTGTTCTTTGGGCAAGCAGTAATATGAAAATAATGCATTTTCTTCTGAAGGCAAACCTGACAAAACAGCCCCTTTGTCCAGTATCCAACAACCAGCATTATTTTGGATTCAATATTAGAAATTCCAGCAAGTCGGGTCTACGGATTGACACAGAAACTGTTACAGGGCATCAGACTCAGACCTTTGAGAGCACAAAGCGCTGCTTAATAGATTTCTCCAGCTGTCTGCTCAGCAAAAACCCACATCCCAATCCTACACAAACACAGCAGAATGGCAAATCCAGTCACACATAAGGAAAAACCCACAAATTATTGCCTTTGGTGAGTCTAGGCAGTGGCTGAGCACTTCCAGCAACGTTCACTTCCCATGTCGTGACCATATGCTAAAGAAAAAGCTTTATAACATGCCAATACTGTCATTTAAAGTTTAGATCTTTCAAGATTGTGGATCAAAACTATAGGAACATGACCAAATATTTCATTGTATAGCACACAATCAGGCAGATAATGGAAGGAAACTTAGAATCATTTCAATCTAGCCACTTACCCACAGAACTATACTTTATATACAGTTTATTTCACTAGAGGTTTTAATTTTATACATAGTATAAAGGGGTATCCTGATATCACACATATAGTTATTTTACTGTACTGTTTAAGAACCAATTTTTTGTACAGAATACAGTATTAAGTACCATATTAATTAAAACAAGTGATCTTTAAAAGAAACCTACATATAAATGGATGTTTATCATAGGCACAGTGCAAGAATGGTTTTTAGAGCATTGTAATCACAACATGTGAGTCTAAAATACAACACTGTGATTTAAAACTAATTTATAAGGATGATGCCCTGTGTTGCAGACAAATCAATCTTGGTCTGAACCACCAAGCAGTGTTAAAATTGCAGACAAACAGCAGCTTATCATTACGATTTTAAAAAGAGATCTTCCACAGTAACCCAAGTTTTAAACCCACTGGTTTATCCCTACTTCTGATCGTGACAGTGTCCTAAGGAAACAAAAGAATGGCCCAGATTTCATTTGGAATTATCTGCTAACTAATGCTAAGGAAATTCTTTGTTACTTCCACACAGGAAACCTTTAAGGATGCTCGAAGAGGTCAAGATGGAGAGGTTTATGGGCAGGATTTTAGTAACGGAGTACAGGATTTCTCCTCTTCAAATAGGAAGAAAATACTGTAATATAAATCAGGTTGTGGTATTTACAGAAAACAATTGTGGAAAAGCAAGCATTCATCATGTAAACACGTCAGAAATGACTTCTTCATTTTCCCCTTTGCAGAGCGGGGCAGTGGATGAATATCAGCTAATAAGAAACAGATGTCTTCCTCAGAAGAACCACTTCACCATCACAGAATATATGTGGTAGTTGTTGAGAATTGCTAACATGTTTTCTCCCTTCCCTCCCCCCAAAGTTTCCAGTTCAATAAATAGTAGAAAAATAATCCTTTACTTAAAAATCTTGAGATGCATTGTCCCAGGTTCCATACAGCAATCGGAGCAGTGACCTCTCAACGTGCGAGACGAGCTGCAGAGAAACCAGCAGCCTTCCCCCCCGTGCCTCTGTCTGGCACTTCTTTAGTCTTCAGCTGCACAGATTCCTGCTCTTCCAGTTAAGGAAACCAAATCATCTCTGGCTCTTCCACACTCTCTCCTCTTGGCTCAGCATAACAGGGCTTCCAAAGCTTCAGCTGCTGTATAAACTCACGTCCCTGTTTCTGGAGGTCTGATGTTCCTCCTGCTCCATTTTATTAAATGTTATGGCAGGTCCATCCATCAAACCCATCTCCCTTCCGTGCCAGAACCAACCTTACATTTATACAAATGTAAAGCTTTTATGCCTAACAGTTTAGTTGGGAAGTCACTTAAATCATTCCTGGTGAAAAGCACAGAAACAGAACTGCCCGTGGCTGCATGGATCATGGTTCAGGAGTTAATGTTCCTTTCCTCGTTGTTCATTAGCATTCTGCATCCACAGTGTGTACCGTGACTGCAGCCTGTAAGTGGTGGCTGTGGTGGAGAGTTGGGTGGTGCAACCGGTAGTGGTGAAACTTGTGACTCAACAGGGCAGCTGTTTGAGGGGGGGTGTCCAGGTCCAAGTCTTCGTCGTGGTTTCCAACATCAACCCCAGCCGACAGCGGGTCGTTATTGCACGGAGGGTTTTCACTGTCCTCCTGAGGGCTCATCGTGCTGTAGCCTAGGAAATAAACCAGCAGGATTTAAAGAAAGAGAAGCTGTGGCTGCCCCCTCCCTGGCAGGGTTCAAGGCCAGGTTGGACACAGGGGCTTGGAGCAACCTGCTCTAGTGGAAGGTGTCCCTGCCCGTGGCAGGGGTTGGAGCTGGAGGAGCTTTAAGGTCCCTTCCAACCCAAACCAGGCTGGGATTCTATGATATTGCACAGTGCTGACTGCTGCACCCCTCAGGGCATCAGACACAATCAGTGCTTTATAGACAATAAACCAATGTTTTTAATTAACAGAAAAAGAAACAAACAAAACCATCTTCTCCTCTAAGTTCCTAACGGATCCCTTTCCCTAGCACCACTATAAACTTTGGGGACCTACGGTCTGTACCACCCCAAACAGTAACAAACCACCACACATCCAACCATCGCACTTGGTTGTGGTAGAATTGCTGGCACTGACTCTAAAAACAAACCAGAATTGTTGGGGGTTGTATCTTTCAAGATACTACTTAGATTTTTACAAACAGACAAGCAATAGGTGGGATTCACCTCTGGTACCTCTGTTCCTATCAATGTCTTTCCCCCAGAGGTTCCCCAGCTCCAAACTATGTCTTTCCCCCAAAGGTTCCCCAGCTCCAAACTATGTCTTTCCCCCAAAGGTTCCCCAGCTCCAAACTATGTCTTTCCCCCAAAGGTTCCCCAGCTCTTCTGTCTGGAAGCAACAGAACTTCACATCATCTTGCTGTGTAATCACAGTATTATGTTTTTAAAAGGAAAAGAGCACTTTTCTCCCATGAGGGTGTATTTGCAAAACCCATGCACATGATTCTAATGAGCTATCCCTCTAGTTAAAGAAATCTACTGAATCCACACGGGAATGTTTCACACAGCAGGTCTGTTGAGCCAAGCAGCACGGACGCTTCCAGCTAAGCACGTGTGCATGGTGCAGTTAACGTGGGGCTGTCCCTTGGCTGAAGTAGCTGCTACTGGAGTCTGAGAAGTTAAACCCCCCCAGCTCAGCTGCCTGCAGGAGTAATGAGACGCTGCATTCACTGGGATATCCTCAGGAAATGATGTCACCTGACAGCCAGCTGACACTAACCCTCACAAGACAGGATCGTGCTCTCTCAGTGATGAAGCCATCTCCTAAGCAGGTCCCCTGGAGAATTCCGTCCCCTCCTTTTGAAGCAGGTGCTAGGAGTTGCTATGAGATTACTACGAGATGTGGATTTACCCCTGAAACCACCTGTTTCCACTCAAATCCAGCTGGCAGCACAAACAAAACCACCTCAGAGTTTCTAAATGCAAAAACCACAAACTAGAAATGAGAAAGATCTTGTTTTAATTCACAAAATAATCCTTCTCGGGAAACTTTGGCTATAGCTGAAAACCCACCAGTGCTTCTGAGCATCTCGGCCAGGTTTTCAGCTTGAGACACCTAAAAGAAGCGTGTTATAAATATCATGCTGAGGACCCAAAGCTGGTTCTCATTTCCCATGCTCTGAGTCATGGTTTCAAGCTGACAGAGACGAATTGGGGAAGACGACTCGGCAGCCCTTTGAAGAAGATGGAATTACAGAAACTAAAATTAGAAGGGCACATTTCAGGAATAGGTAGACAGTTCCCCTGATGACCCTGACATGCTGACTCCAAAGGTGGGAAGGGTTTCCTAGGACTACAAGAAAGGAAGGAAAAGGACCATGACTCTAAGAAATCTGCCTCTGCACAGGTTATCTGGCCCCAAATCCAGGGTAATTCCTCCTAGAGCAAGACTGTCTCTCAGACATCTGCTCATCCTCATTCTAAGGCTTTGGCCTTCAGATTTCCTGTCCCTCAGCAATTCCATTAGTGCAACCAGCATCTTAATAATTGAAGAGCTCTGCAGTAACATACCCAGCCACAACTTGCAGCTAAGAGCTGACATCTGTGGCACACCGCCTTGTCCAACCCTCCTCTTAATTTATGTTAAGCCTCCTGAGTCAGCAGCATTACACCCTTCTAACAGCTTTCAAGGTTTAAGAAGACTTAGTCTCAGGGCACAAGAGACACAGCAACACTCCCTGAACCTAAACAGGGTTGAAGTGTGTGTGTGTGTGGCAAACATGCATGGCTGAACACCCTTCATTGCTATGCATGTAAAAAGTTCACGTTGATCATTGTTTGCTTAAAGGTGATGCAAGATGTCCTCCGTGGGGATGCAACAGAAAGGCTAAGGAGGCACCTGACACACTAGTCTCTAAATCCACCCTTACTTCAACCCAGCAATTCAAGTGTCAGCACATATTGCTGGAGTGTTATGGAAGATGCACATGTCACATTAAAGAGAAGAGCAGCAGAGATGCTGATGTGCCTGCAAGGGATTTGCCTTCTCTCTTTAAGTATGAGAGTTCCACGATCCCAGCTGAACATTTAGCTTGTTAGGGTTGGTGATGGAAAAAGAGCATGGTAGCTGCAGTACCCTCTCTGTGGGTTTGAATTCTGCTCTCCCAGTGAAGCTGCCTGAACCCAAAATCACACATGGGGAGCAGAGCACTGAGCTGCTGCTGTACAAACCCAGCACCCTCACCAGAAAGTATCATCTGCCAGAGGGTGTCAGAACTGTCCAACTGTGAAGCAATAAGGAGCAAAGGTTTTTGGTTTGGTTTTGGCAGCTTTATCTGCAACGTGCCAGACACCTGAAGGAAACTGAGTGAGCACAATCATTAACCTGGAGCCAGGGCAGTCGTTCAGCTCTTACCGTGGTCACTCTCCGTCCCCGACCGGCCCCAGTAGCGGCGCCTGCGTTCCGGGCTGTGGGCATGCCGCTCGATCACCGCTGCTATGAACCGGGTGTTGCTGACTGGGAGAGAGGAACCAACACTGTGAGGGCTGTCACTGCTTTGTGTCAGTGGGTATCAGCACAGGGGACACGCCTTCTGCAAACTAACTCTTCTCAGATACTAGTTCATTTAAGACTATTGTCAAGTGACAGAGGAGTAGGAGTAAAATGAAGGTGTTTAAGTGTGGGGCAGACCAAGATCCAGTCAAACCCATTCACATCATCTGCTTGGATTAATAGAAGATAGAGCATTACTGTGCCAACACTAAAGCATCTGTGGTGGCACTGAAAGCCGACTTGGAGAAGCAGAGATTCAAGCCATGGCACTCAGATATGCTTATTGTTCAGTCTGAGTGTTGACACAGTTTCATTTCAGCTCTTAGTGAGGGTGCAGAGACAGGGATCTGGTCTGTCTCTGGCGCTCTCCCACTTTAGGTGCACCACCTCACCTTACAGTACATCAGTACCACATTCAAAGTGTCAGTTTTACTGGATGGTGAAGAAGTACAAGCATCCCAAATGCCACATTTGTTGAATGTACATGCCAGGCTTGGCCTCTGCTTTCCAAGGCTGAACAAAGGTAGGAGTTTATCTCTTCTGTCACAGCTGTATCAGAGCTATTTCTGGAAGTGGTGATGATGAGGGAGCATAAGGGGCAAACCTCCTTCACACATAATCAAATTAGTCTTTTAAAAGTTAAAAAAGTAGTTTTTCAGCACGAGACTAAAGGTGCACTGGAAGTTACAGTTAGAACCTTGTTCTGTCGTTTTCTGCTGCTAAAAGAGAGGTTTGGTACTTACTGATTCCCCTGTCTTCGTGGCTGTCATCGTCTCTCTCGTCCCTATCATTCTCCAGGTTGGACATACGCACTGACATTTCTACACACCATTAAACACAGAAAAATGCAACTGTTAAAGAGAAAAATGTGGGGTCATCTTACTAAGGGCTGTCACCCTGGTAGGACAGTGGAAGCACTTTGCGTGGCTGTGTGAGGAGATGCAGTCTGAGCTCGCTGTGCTCTTGTTCCAAGGCAGATGGGGCCAGGGATACAACCCACCTGCCCCTGAAAGGAACAGACTTCAAAAGCTCTGAGGAAAGCAAATTGATACAAACTAGAGCTGGGGTATAACCAAATAGAGAGCTCACCAGCCCTGATCACACTTCTCACTTCTGCACCTACCAGCATCCTTTCTCCCAAACACTCTTCTGACTCTCAAACATCAGTGGTTTTATCTATCTATGCGTTAATATTCCATCAACATATCACATGGATCAGAGGCAGGAACACAAGTAAAAAACCCACGTCCTAAAGAGCCCAAGCAGAAAGGGTGTGAAAACTGTAGCTCTCCCACAAGCTCCACTCTTGTGCAGAAATAAACATATGTCACTGGTGTGCTATGACAAGGGCCAGGAGGCTGGGAAGTCGGTTTATTGTGTTAGCTCTAGAAAAAGCCTAAGTTCAGCTTCCTGACAAGAACTGCATGTTAAGGGTTTCAGGTGGCAGCAGGCCTGGCAGCACCCAGGAGAGGGCAGCAATACACAGTGACCTGGATGTGACCAGGCTTTTTGTAAGGGTTGGCAAAAGGGAAATAAAATGAGGTGAAGCACTGAAAAAAAACCATGGACAGAGGTTTTGGATCCTTCTAGTCGGGTTTGTGTTGGGTTTTTTGTTTGTGTTTGGTTGGTTGGGTTTGAGTTTTGTTTTATTGTTGTTTTTTTAAGTCCCACCCTCCTATTTCTGTCTCCAGATGTATCAGCTCACCCTGGGCAGCCAAAGGTGACATGTGCTGGTGACTCCTCCGATGTATCTGGTGGCGATACGCGTACACTGCTAGGACAAGCACCATAATGCAGCCCATAATGCCTCCAGCCACTGGGCCGACTGGTGCACTCTTGATCATGTTCAGAGTGATCACCTCATCTCCTACATCAAAAGGGACAAAACAGGAGGGAAAAAAGGCCATAAATGCTGTGCAGAAAGGTTTAAATGAACATCTCTGAAAATTATCCACTCATAGAATCCCAGCCTGGTTTGTGTTGG